CAGGCTCAGAAGTGAAAACTAGGCTCAAGTATCACACTGAAACTTAAGTGCAATATTTATATTCCGAGTGACTTATCTTAGAAGTATATGGTAAAAAGGAGAAAGTCAGCAATTTTTCAGGGGGAGTGGGGCTCAGTGTGGTGGTGATCCAGGTGCAGCTGGTTGGGGCTTGGTAGGGTGAGGCTCCAGGTGCGGGTGGCTCCTTGGGGTGGTGCAGGGGGAGTGGGGCTTGTCGGGGGGTTCTGGATGTGTGAGGCAGTGAGGCTCGGTGGAAGGGTCTGGTTATGAGGGGGTCTGAATGCACAATGCATGGGCAGATGGGGGAGCAGCTCCCTTACAGAGATCTCTCCCCCTTAAGCTGAGGAGCGATGGGTGCAGGAAACGGGGGGGGGGAGGAGTTTTCAGAGCTTCCTACAGTCAGGGGAGAAATCTGGGGGTGGGTCTGATGGGTCTGACACGGCCCCGGATGCCATGCAAGGAAAGAGGAAGTCCTGTCCTCCCCAGCCCAACCGGAACTAGCAGCTGAGCTCGGCGCAGGGTAGGAGCCACCAGCCAGGTCTTGCCCAGTCCTGCCCCTTGCCCCACAGTGATTTACCTCTCTGCCGGCTGCCCTGGGCACGTGAAACATACTGCTGAGGAGGGTCTAATGGCCGCTCTTGTGGCTTCCCTTTGCTTCCCCGTCAGAAAGTCATTTTTCTGTGGGGAAGCAAAGAAATCTGTGGGGGACATACATTCTGTGCATGTTCAGTGGCACAGAATTCCCCCAGGAGTAACTACCTAAATCCTTTTGTGGGTCCCATCCTTAGTTACTGGAGAACAGGTCTGCCTGTTTTAGGGCTTGTCTAAACTGGAGCTTTGCAGTTTTAGCTGTCTTCTAGTGGCTACTGCACATGAGAGGATAAGAACCTACCAGAGCGACTAGTTGCAGGAGTTGCTCTTTTAGTTCAAGCCATAGAGGCTCATACTGTTTAGCTTTGATAGTCCTAGGTTCAAACCAAGCAAGAGGAGACTACATTGGTAATTTTGGTGTAGTAAACCTGTATGACTTCCTAAAAAAAGATAGGAAATCACAACAAATGCTCCCAAACTAGACTCACTTACATTTTTTCTTCAAAAAATTAGAGCTGGAAGAACTGCTCAAAGTTTCCCCCTCCCTCCATTGAAATCTGAAATGGCATCCCTTCTAACATCCCAATGTAAGGTCTTAGTCAGTGGGCTCAAATTCAGGCAGCTGGGCTATATGTATTTGAGGGGATAGTCTCTTGAATAACTTTCTGTCATACCAAGGAACCCACCATAGTATATTCCCTGTGAAAGTGGGGGAGGCTTCATCTGAAGACATACTTTCTATACCTCAGAATATATGGCAAAAAAAAATTGCAGCACTCATCAACTGGGTATCTCGGGCAAAGATTAGAACTCAGCATAATTCTAGCACTTATAATACTTGCAAATTTGCCCTAGTGGAAGTGTGATCAAGTAGAGGTGTTAAAAGTTGCCAACCATGCTCCATAGTGCTTAGCGGTCAAAAAGTCCAAATTGGTAGAGCATTAATCTATTGAGGTAATCTATCAACTCTGTGCCCATGATTACCAACTCTTACTGTAAGCAATAAAATACCAATTCTAAATGTATTCCTCTGCTCTTCTATGCATGCCAACGAAGAGAATGAAATATTAAAACAAAGGTAACACCTGACATCCTGCATGAACTCACTCATTATGTAGGTTGAAATGCAAAAGGTTTATAGTCTCTATTATATTTAAATATAATAAAAGTTAAACAGGCTTTTTGTTCAAGCTATTGTATGACCAATTGTTGTCCAGTGGTAGCTTATTTAGAATGTTTCTATTCTTAGCAGAATAACTGATTGAACCCTCTAAAGCCTTTTAATAGGTCAACTCCAATATGTTTCTTATTGTTCGAGTTCCCAAATGCACATGACGTGTGATCAAGTTCAAGGAAGACATTGAGCAGAATATGTAGATCACGCAGCAAATATGGTATCTTATATATAGTGCCACAGGCAGGTGTGTGCATGCACATGAGCGAGAAAGGAAGAAAGGGAGTCAAGCCAAGGAAATCAAACTGATTCTCATGCTTCGGTGGGAGGCGGATTTCATTGTAGTATTTTCCATGTCTGCTAATACCCAGGGCATAATGGTTTTTGGTAAGGGTAGAATCCTCAGCCCAGTGCAAGGCTTGAATAATGGGACTGTGGTGTTTCAGGGAGAAGTCCCCTCCCCAGGCTGTGGCATGAGAACCAGGCTGCTTCCCGGCTGAGTTTGTAGTCTCAGAACAGCAGTAGCCTCTATGGTTCCTGCTCCATGGTTAGGTGGGGGGAAATGGCCAGTGAATCACAGACTGGTAATTCCTCTGGCCTCGTCCTCATGAAAATCTACCTGCAAATAGGCCATAATAAGTTCCTGGACAGCATGACTCTGCAGATTGCTGAGGGAGGGGAAATGGACACCTTGAACATGGCACTGGCAACCTGTCCACTTTCCACAGTGGAACCACATCAGTTCTATGAAGTCAAGGCCCTTCATAGCTGTGGGAGGCATGTAGGGCAAGATTTGCTCCTAGATACACATTCTAGATATGGTGGAGGAGGCAAGTGCTGAAGCAAGCTATTACACTGTGACTTACCTGGCACTAGCCCCTGCATGTATTTTTTGCACAGTGTGAACTCCGTGCCCTTTAGCTTGCTTAAGACACATCTTGAGTCAAAGCACAGAGGCATTTTAACAGCTTTCATTAGAGGACATTTATGTAATTATAAAGCATGGACACACCACTCATCAGTCACACCAGCAAAGGACACATACATATTCTTAGCATCTCTTTCTTACTCAAAGGCTACATCTATCTACACTACATCTGGGACTATGCTTCCCAGCACAAGCAGACAGACACACGCTGTGCTCAAGCTAGGGCACTAAAATAGCCCTGTCACTGGGGTAGCATGGACAGAAACTCAGGCTAGCTGCCCAAGTAGGTACCCAGGGGATCCAGGCAGGTTTGTACTCACGCAGCTGACCCCAGCTGCTGCCCATGCTCGCCCTGGCTATGCTGTTACTGTTAGCTCAGTAGATACTGTTGTCTTAACTTAGATGGCATATATGCACCAACGGTGTTAATGTAACCCAGTCACTGTCGAACATTAAATAGTGTTAAACAAGCTCCGGGGTTTGATATGCAGAGATGTCAGCCTGCCTAGAACCATGGCAAACATACTGCTAAAAATGCTTTTAATCCTTTCTTAAAGCTACAGAGAAGAAGGAAAAACACTGAAAGCATTTGAAATGTAAAGTATTAAGTAAGACTTTCACTTTAACATTTCTTGTTCCCTTTCCCTTTAGCTGGGAAGAGTTTTTAGAAAGAACATTTTTCTTCTTTGACAGCCTCAAAGGTATCAAAGATGGTGGTACTTGTCCTTTTTGGTAACAGAAATTGAGATGAGCTGGAGCTGCTTCTGTTGTTGCTGTGAAAGTTTAATCCTGTTTCATGTTAGGTAGTGGTTGGGCTTCAGATGGAGCTGATAGGGAGTGCAATAGAGAACTGGAGGATAATGGAACAGTTCCTATTTCCTAGGATACTATTTCATTTACAGCCTTTATTCTGCTGCCTGATTGTGCTAGAGGAGAGTAAAGAAAATCTTCTGACTTGTATTTGGTCCTGAGTTCAGACTCATTTGGACATTTCTCTAGCCCTCCAAGGTACTGCCATTGCCTTCAAAGTTATTACATAGCACCCTCCAGAAATCTCTCTGCCACCTTCTACTTCATTTGCTGGCCAGCTTTGATCCTTCTCTGCTAGTCCATGTTTTCTTTGTTGTTCTCCTCTGCTCTCTTCAGCTACTCCACTGGCTGATATGTATAGTTGGCAGAATTTAATTTTTATTTTTGAATGGACTGGGGAGGCTGAGAGACTGTGGGAGGCTAACTTGGGTAAAGTTGGTTGGGAGGAGTAAACTGTGAGACCTATGCTATTTTAACCTATAGGTATTGCCCTTATCTGAGCACCCTGCTTTATTTTATTGATGTGTTTGATGTAAATCGTGTCATGTGCCCAAGTAAGAAAGACAGTCACTAGATACAAATAAATACATAGCCGAGCATCCAGGGATCGCACACTGTAGGCATGCCAAAATTCCCCCAACTCTGTTTCCTGGGTCCTTTCTGTCCCTACCGCTTACCTAGTCAACTCCCCAGCTGTGCTGTGAGCTCAGCGACACGACCTGTTCTATTCAACAGCAGCTGCTGCTTCTCTTGCTCCTAGGATGCAGCTGCGTCACAGTAGCGCATCTGGTGAAGATGTGCTATGCCAACAGGAGAGCGCTTTCCTACGGGCATAATTACTCCATCAAATGGAGAAGTGTCAGCTATATCAGCGGGAGAGCGTCTCCTGCCAACATAGTGCCGGCGTGAACAGCGCAAAACTTGAGTCACTCGGGTGTGGGGGCTTCACACCCCAAGTGAAATAAGTTAGATTGCCCTGCAGCCTGGCTCTCTGCAAGAGCAGAAGGAAGCAGACTGCCTCTGGTTGCTTTTAAGAACTTGCACTCATCAGAGATCAGCCTGACTTTATACCACATGGAGCTTTCTGCCTTATGCTGGGAGGACCTTTGGGAAACTTGGAGTCCATGTGTACAAAAGCCCCAGGTCAGCTAGGGCACACTGGCAGGTTCCCTCCCCCTTGCACGAGGAGAGATATGGGACTACCAAAAAAAGAGAGAGAGGCGAAGGAAACAAATGTAGAGACAGATAAAAAGAGGGGGAAAGGAAGCAGGAAGGGGAGAGAAAGAAACGAGAATAAAAAATGGAAAGGAAAAGCAAAGCACAACAAAAAAGTGCCCACTAAAGGTAAATTGTACTTACGTTTTCACCCCTGTTCTTTGCAACCTGAGTTAGGGGCAGCTCTCAGCATGTGATCTATTAGAGTTGTGGTCTGTAACATTCAGTAGCACTTAAACATTGCTGACCTCTTTTGTTTTCCAGGAGAGGGGGCACTGAACAACTCTTCACCAGGGGCACCACTGTCCCTAATGTCTGGCCCGAGCTGTGATGCAGCTACGTATGCAAGGTAGGGGGGGTGGGCAAAAGTGGAAGAAAAAATGTTGTGAGAAGCTTGGGTTGCAAATGTTCCGTGTTTTGGTTCAGGTTATTCCATACCGTCCATGGTCTAGACGGTATTTGGTCCTGCCATGCGGGCAGGGGACTGGACTCGATGACCTCTCGAGGTCCCTTCCAGTCCTAGAATCTATGAATCTATGCCCCTGGAGGTTTGCTTTTGCCACCATCTTTTTGGACAATAGTCCAAACGTATGTGCAAGCGTGTGGTTGTGTTTATGTTTTTGTTTTACTTTGGAACTTGAGAAAATGACACATTGCTCTAAATTGTTTGCCTGAGCAGGACTGGGATTCCCTCCTCACCAAGTTAAACAGAAGCCTGTGAGGAAGCAGGGGCTGAGCTGGATTCCTCAAGGGAAGAGGATGTGGGGGTTTCTTGTAGGTTCAAGTTTTGTATAATGTGCACTTCCAAAAGCACTTACAGGGGTTGATCCACTGAGATCCCCTGTGAAAGGAGCCTGAAGGACTGGCTCAGACCCAGCAGTGAGGAACACGCTGAATATTATCGGGATGTTAGACTCAGGTCACAACCCAGGATGGAGGTGAGGGGCAAGAGGGAGGACACGTGGCAAAGTTGGCTGAGGAACTTGCCCTTCATTGTAAACGAGACTCTGATTTGAAATGAAAATTTGAAGCACGTCGCCAGAGAACTGCAGCTTCGTTATGGAATATGGAGGAGAGGAATATTCTGCTCTACCAAGTCTCAGGTTTTGGCTGTCACACAATGTCTAAGACCCTGTCAGAGGAGATTACTTATGTCATATGGTAATCAGCACTAGCATCCTAATAGATTAAAAATGTCTTTTTTTGATGAGCATGACTTGCACTGAAATAACTCAGGGTAGAACATTCTCAAGGCATTTGCTTTACTCCCTCACAGCTGTCCTTTCAGGGGCAAAACTGGCCTGCACTTCCCCCTCCCTCACAATGCAAAAAGGGTTCTTTAAGGGAGAGAACTGGCAAACTGGAGCAGTTTGTCAAGATGGAAATCTGCCAGTCTAGAAGTGTTTTTTCTTCGAAACTGACCTCTCCAGAAAAGTGTGGATCAGATAACAGGCTCAGTAATTACAGAACCCTAATTCATTCACTGAGCACCATCCCTCCCGTGCAGTGAATAAGTCCAGGATCCTGTGGGAAACAATTGGATATGATCAAGTAATCAAAGACTAGCATAAGGCATAGGCACAGGGGAGCCAAACTAAGGTTTCATGGGCAACCTTAATTCTGGCATTTCCTAACTTTTCAGTACTTTTCCCTGCAGTCTTTACATTCCTTTAACCTAGTTCTTTTGCATGTGGTTTCAAAGACTTTTAAAATCAACGTGAAAAATGAAATTCCATTATGTGGAACCGCGCAGGCACCAGTACGGTTCCATTCCAGAGCAGCAATGATAGAAACATTAGATGCACAGCACAGACCTCTGCTACTTGAGCCACCAGAGTAACTAATAGCAATATGGTGTCATTCTGAGTCAGCCACTAGAGGGAGATGAGGCAAACATACTGCCAGTGGGTTTCACAGCTATTTGCTATCAGCAAAGGAATGGTAAGACTCAGGAATCCTGGGTATTGTCCAGGGTCTGAAAGGGGGGCCATAGGTTACCCTTCTGCCCCTCACTCCCTCTAGCCTATCTTGTTCCCAGTGTCCCTCCCCACCCCTCACCCCCCAGCGCCTTGTTCCACTCCCACTTGCCAGCCCCTTACCATCACCCATCAGCTTCACATCCTAATTCCCTAGCCTCATCCCAGCTCCTCAACCCCACTTCTTGTCCCCTTCACCAAGCTCCTTGTCCCAGTCTCCCCTGAAACATTCCCAGTTCTTTGGCCCCATCTCTCCCCAGGCCCAGCTCCACTCTTCTGCATTCCAGCCAGGCTGCTTCCTCCTCCTCACTGCCTGGGCACTAGCAAGGGGAGCATTGAGACAGTCTCCCTGCTTCCTGTGCATAGTGGCCCTGGTTTCCAGGAGAACAAATGGCAAGGGAAAGTCCTGGTCAGCCTGTGGAGCCCCCAGAGGAAGCGAGCTCAGTGCAGACAAAATCTTTAGAAAATTTAGCTGCCTAACTCCAACAAGTCTGTACTGAGTATATGCTAATAGATTTCCAGAGACTCATAACTTGAGCAAACGTCTTTGATTTTCATGGGGATGGCAAAAGACACACCCCTGATATTAGGGTGACCCCCTGCCAATTTCAAGTACCTGCTCCAAAGCCTGGAGGCTCTAACGATTCTCAATGAAATGGCTGTAAGATTTGTTGTTGTTGTTGTTAACTTGAGCAAAATATTTTTCCTTAACCTTATTCTGAGAAATGGTTGAACTGTATTTGCTGAAACTTTCCAAAGAAGTTCAGCCTGCGGCAGATAACTGGCATGGAAAACTTCAACCCAACAAGTTAGTTTGGCAAAGTTATAAGCAACTGAAAATAAGGTCTTTATAATGGAAAGTGTTGGGCAATCTTAACTGGGCATCACTCCCTAGCACTAGCTGCACCCTTCCTATCTGTTCAGGCATTTGGCTCAAGCTCTGTGTCTGATAACTCTTCTTCAACTCTGAAACTCAGCCCTAGCACATTAAGGTTGCAGTGTCAAAGTTCAAATACAGACTTGCTGCTTTAATCCTGTTTCATGTGAATATAATTGTAGGTGTGTGATGTTATTGACATGAACTGTGACCATATAGATCATTGTTGCAACCAAGGTCCTATAGTTGTACCAAATCTTGTACAAAGGAGGACAAGTAAGGTGTCTATGAAAAGGTTGTAATTTGCTGGTTATAATTATGCTGTCTGTATGTATGTGTCATTTTTGTATGTGAAGTTATAAATATGTTATAAACATCTCAATGTGTTTGTAGCATTAGTGAAGCATTTGGTCAGCTTCTTGAGAAAGAATTCTTCAGGTTAAGTGCCCAATCAAGAAACACTTAACTGACAATGGATCTTGGGAGACTCCAATCCACATATGAAGAGCCTTCCTGGAAACATTCAAGGTAGCATGTGAGCAATGGCTGCCACCTGCAAACTGAGTCATGCATGGACATGTGACTTGCCCATGTGACTCCAAACTCCATCTTGCTGCTGTGATTTTCCACAGTAATAACAAAGGGGTCCTTCCATATGGCAGAGGATATAAAAGGCCCTGGAAGCCCCTCCATTTTGTCTTCAATCCTGCTTCTGACCTCTGGAGGAACTGTGCTTGAAACTGAAGCTCTGAACAAAGGACTGAATGACCCATCCAAGCTGGGATGTACACCAGAGACTTGATTGGTTTAAATCAGCAGTAATCCAAACAAGCCTGAACTAAGGACTTTGCAATTGTTGTATGTATTTGATTCCATTTAACCAATTTTAACTCTCATCTATATTTCTTTCTTTTTATGAATAAACCTTTAGATTTTAGATTCTAAAGGATTGGCAACATTGTGATTTGTGGGTAAGATCTGACTGGTATATTGACCTGGGTCTGGGGCTTGGTCCTTTGGGATAAGGAGAACCCTTTTTGTTCTACTGGGGTATTGGTTTTCATAACCATTCATCCCCATAAGGAATGGTGCTGGTGGTGATACAGGGAAACTGCAGTGTCTGACGGAACCTGCAGTGTCTGAGGGAACTGCTTGTATGACTTCGGGTTAGCCAGTGGGGTAAAACCAAAGTCCTCTCTGTTTGGCTGGCTTGGTGAGCCTTAGTAAAAGACCCCCAGCCTTGGGCTGTGACTGCCCTGCTCTAAGCAATTTGTCCTGAATTGATACTCTCAGTAGTGTCTCACCAAAGGCCGCTTTGTTACAAGGTGTTATGTATAATGTGGCCTTAGACTACAGTATGGAGGATTTTAGATGAATGCAAGTGTGTACCAACTGAAGGAAAATGAGGCATGATATAGGTCAAACAATTACTCTTGCATGTAGTTCCACTGATTGCAGGACAGGGGCTGTAACTTTTTTTTTAACGAAGGAAAAGTTAGTAGTTATTTTACCAATATAAAGTGAATGCTGATAGGTTATATTTATGGATTTAACATTTCCTTTAGGAAGATGGGGTTATTTTTTAAATTGTTAGTGGACTTGCTTTATTAGCTGAAATTTCCTTCTTGTTGGCTTCTTGATTTCTTCTTGGCTTCAGGTGAATTTAGGAAGTGGGTAATTTGTCATTACTCACTACTATATTGTACCTCTGACTAGAAGGAATCCTGGAACCACCTTTATCCTACAGCTTATCTTTATAATCCTCTAGATAATGCATAGGGCTGGAAGTCAGAAGATCTGTGCCCTATTTCCAGCTCTGCACAGACTTCATGTGTGACCTGGAACACATTGTTCAACTTTTCTGTCCCTCTGTTTCCCCATCTATAAAATGGAAATGATACTTTACCACTTACCTCCCACACAGGTGTACTGTACATTCATTAATATCTCTACAGTGTCTTGAGACCCTCCTATGGAATGTGACATAATTTTCAATTGAACAGATTTATCACTTTAATAAACATATGTCAAATTCTCATGTAAGTGCAGAATACTATTGTACAAACAATGCAGTTGAAATTAACAAGCTAAAGTCTATGCTAGCTAAAGAATGAAAAACTTAGAGGTGTTATTCCTTTCTTATTTATACCAACAAATTTCCATTGGCTTTGTGTTTGTTTAGATTTTAGTTTGTTCAGATTATTGGAAGTGTTTACTTCATCCTAATATATAGGGACGAAATTCTTTGCTACTGTAAATTGATGCTGCTCCATGGATTTCAATGGAACTGCATCATTTTACACCAGCAAAGACTTTGGCCTAGGGTATAGGTCTTGGAACACCTGCCATAAGTTTGCATTGTGCCCAAAAGAGTGAGGTGCAGGAGAGAGAAAGAAGTAAGTTATTTGTATTCTCTTCTTTTAGTGTCTTGACATCTTGGGAAAAGAAAGTAAAGCTGCCCCAGGTAACTGTAATTTACTATGTCCATTACTTACT